CTACTTCTAGTTGGAATGATAATTCCATACCCCACTTTTACGATAAATTATCGAGGTCAAGGATTGCGCAGAGAGGAATGAATTTATTTATTTATACAAAAAAGTGGTTCTAATCTCAAATGGGGTCGGAAATCCTTAACCACCGCCCTCTTCCCGCCTAATTGGGCTCAGCCCCACGGCCCAGGCCCAGGCCGAGCTCCTCCTTCCCTCTCCCACCAGTGAAGGATATGTATGTTTGAACCGGACCAAACCGACGTTTGGACCGGACTGCACCAGACCAAATATAGTACGGTCCGGTCCTTGGTCCAATGAATTTTAGGATTACTTAAGAAAAGATGGACCGAATTGATTTTTGGACCGCACCGAACCGGATCAAATGGAGCAAACGTATTGATGGTCCGATCCATGATCCTCAAATTTCTTTCACGATTGGACCACGGTTCTCATGGTTTGATCCAGTCCGTACCAAACCGAACCGTTGCACACCCCTATGTTTTTTATTTTCATTCGTAGTTGATATGTGAAGTCCTAGAAAATCTACATTCAACTCTTTCTGTGGTCAATATTTCAACACGCATCTACTCATTAGATTGAGCACATATTTTTAATAACACGTGTTATTTGGCTTTAATCTAAGTTGAAGCATGACCAATATTCGAGTGAGTCTGGAGGAACACGATATGTGCTCGTCTAGGGGAGGAAGATTGTGTGTTGTACCGAGGCTTAATTGATTTGCTATACTAGTGCTACAAAGTTCACCTTGCGAAAATACACGATCAATAATGGAATTGACAGGGAATCAAATAAAAGCGCTTTCGGAATCTCTGTCACAATACTGAAGATGAGGATGGTTGGGCTTCATGGTGTCGGGTCTAGCTAGGTGTTTAGCTATGAACGAACTAGTCTGTGTAACCCCCCTTCTTCTATAAATAAAAACAAATCCCTCTGCCCCTCGATAATTTATCTTCCCAGCTTCTCTCGCCAATCCATGGCGGCCAATCGGAGGCCGCTAAGATCAGGTCTCGTGCCTTGCGGGTCCGGGACACCGGTCGACAAACTCTTGGACGATCTTCTGATAGACATTCTGGTTCGGCTCCCGAACCCTAGATCCGTTTCTCGGTGCAAACTCGTCTGCAAAAGGTGGAGCCTCCTTCTCTCCAGCCCCGGCTTCAATCGCCGATTCGTTTCAGACCACTGGAGCAGGAACCAGCAACCTCCGATAGGAGCGGTGTGTGGACCTGCAACTTGGAGACGAGGGGAGAACCGGAGCTCCTCACTGAAACAACAATTGACAAACCTCATTGGAAAATGTTGCATGCTCAGTTCGCTTGCTGGCCAACTCCGATCCCAAGGTACGAGAAACTGCGAGCCATGTACGATGGGAGCTACAGCTGCTGGGTTCAGAGCAAGTCGACGATTGGCAACAACCCCCAGCAGCTAGGGGTCTATTAAAATATGTATGTGTAGTACGAGTAGTAATTATGTTATATGATTGGGAATAGAATGAATGACTTAATTAATACTAAATTGTTTATCACAATCAATCGAGTTGATCTATAAGGAAAGGAAGAATTAGCAGTCCTGAATCGTTGGGAGAGACGATCACCACTTTTTTTAATCACAGCTTGTGTGGTGAACACAGGCGAAGGAGTTTTGTTACCATTTTGTGTCTTTTTTCTTTTTAGTGTTAATGGAGGAGAGGTGGAGTTGTTGGATTGGATTTATTAGTGCATATATATGCAACTTTGACTGTGCCCGGTTATGTTTTGGTCACTAAAGTTTTGGTACGTTGTCACTATGTCCATTTTTCTCTATCACTTTTTTCGACTCAAGTTGTCCACATTAGCATGGAACCCCATTGTAAACCAAACTATTAACCAATCGATCTAGATCATACACAATAAACTTAGTCTGAGTTAACACTAGTTTAAAGTTAATCGGATCATGCATGTCAACTATCTAACTTTTCAATATCGATGATTTGAGTGAGTCGGTAGGGCTGATCTAGTTAATCTTAACAAAGATCTTGAAACGAATTGGATGTATTAATGGTTAGTCAATTGTTGAACCAGAATCAAATTAAGTCCACCAAATAACTCTTGCCCCAAACTCATTGGTTAACAACCAAATAGTGAATATCCTAATTCCTGCATTTTCAAACTCAGCTAAGAGTACAACAATGCTCCCATTTAGAGGTGGCAATTTCAATCCAATCCACCAATCCAATCCATCAATCCATTAAAAATATCCATCTAATCCAATCCATTTAAATCCAATCCATTTGATCTAAATCCAATTGGATTGGTGGATTCATGGATTGGATCCATGGATCATTGGCAAATTACGGTTTAGTACCTATAATTTTTATTTTTTACATTTTGGTACCCAAAATTTAATTTTTTATACGAAAAATATCAATGGAAAATTACGTTTTGGTACCTAAAATTTTTCATTGTGACATTTTAGTACCTAAACTTTTTACATTTTACATATTGGTCCTTGGTTGAGGATGTCATTTGGATTCATGGATAATCCACCAAACCACTTGATCCAATCCATGAATCCACCAATCCATTAGATCCAATCCATTTGATCCATGGATCCACCAATCCAATCCACCAATCCACCAATCCAATCCATTTGCCACCTCTACTCCCATTCTAATACAGAAAAGCAAATTAAAACATAATCTAACATTACTGAAGGATTAACATTTTAATTACGCTCATAAAAAGAAGACAAAATACATCTCGATAGCCATAACTTTGCACTATGTGACAATAATAGCCAAATTTTAAGAAATACACTAAAATAGCCATTTCGTTAATAACTTTAACGACAAGCTGACTAGACTAACGATTTAGTTGATGTGGCATCTTTTTTTTCCACCCCACCAACGGCAACAATATAATAGCCTATTTATATTTTGTTCCTTCTATTTTAATTAAATTCAATAAATTTTTTTAAAGAACATCATCTCTCCACCGCAGCTTTTCACCTTCCTCCTACTCTCTCTCTGTACCCCTTCCATCGCCACCGCCCACCGCCGTTGCAAAACCTTCCCTTCCCTCTAGCTCTAGGAAATCAAACACCGCGCCGTGAACCCTTCTTAGCACTACGAACAAGTATCCCAGCTCAACTCGCTGCACAACTAGTCGCGGGCGATGCAGAGTTGGTGAAGTGATATGCTCGGGAGATTGGCCCCGCCGTCGAGGAGGGAGATGAAAAGTTGATGGCAGGTTCGGAGGTCGTCAATGGCGAGGTCAATTTTTCAGCAATCGTTACTCAAACTCGAACCATAGACACAAGCGAAGCGATTGTGATTGGCAGATTAGGGATTTCTCTACTGAACGATTAGGGTTCCTAGATTGGGGATTTCAAAATTCACCACCGCAAGACCCTATGAATGGTCGTTGAAGAAGGCCGAAGACAGCGCCGACCTTCCCCGTGGTTCCACTCATAGCCAGCTACCTTCTATGCTACTTGCCTCCCTTCGCTCCCTCTCGTCGACGGGGAAGATGAAAGGTGTTCGGGGAAGAGAAATTGAAGGAGGAGTGCAGGAGCCGATGCCGATTCCGGCGCCATGGTCGGGCTCTGAGGATGCGAGCGACTTCTGCGACAACAACAAAACGACAACGGTGGGATGCATTGTAGATATGGTCGGAGATTTGAAAGAGAGGGAGAAGAAAGGAAGAGGGAAGGGAAGGGAAGGGAAGGGAAGCGAATAAGAGTTTTCTATACTAACGAATTTTTTAATAAAATAAATTTATGAATTTTTTTAATTAAAAAATGTGACGTGGCTTCCAGGTGGTAAGGTATGTCTTCTTGGAGCGGATGTGTCATCTGAGGTGGCGTCCACCTCAACATAACCTTCACTTAGTTGACAGAGTCATTGACGGTGTTAAAGATTCAAACGGAAATGGCTAAATTTGTCAAAATACTTTTCAAAATGTGGCTATATCTGTGTATTTTTTAAAATTTGGCTATTATTGTCACAAAGTGCAAAGTTATGGCTATACAAATGTATTTTGCCTAAAAAGAATGATGAACTGATGAATGAAATGATGAACTGCTAAATAGGTCCTGACATCCAATCCACCACCTGCACTTTGTACATTGCTAAACTGGTCTGGTCAATGACTAGAGAGAGATTCAGTCTGCCCTCTTCCCCCACGTAACGTACATAACACATATAAGCTCATCATCATGCATCCTTTTATACATCAGACTACAAATGGTGCTGCTATAACTCCTTGTTCTATTCTAGAGGCAGCCTCCACGCTTAAACCTTATCCAGCTTTACTTACCAGTCAAGTAAATGCAATCCAAAGTCAGTAGCTTTCGCTTATCGAAAAAGGGTGGTGGTTAGTTACTTAGTTCAGAACTTCCTATTCACCCTGTGAGCTTGGTCGTATCTGTAGCAGATGCTGGCGAGCCACAGTGTGGAACCTACTTTCTCCGCTCATCCTCGTACAACTTGTTCCTCAAGTCCTTGAGAGCATCCACCACTTCTGAGTCAAGGAAAATATCATTTTCGAATTCATAAAATTTCTATAGACATGTTCATCATTCAGAAAAGTTCTCTACTTTACAGTGTGACCAAGGAACACCATCTGCAGCACACTAATGCATGTCTTCTAATGTCGATTTGCAGTAGCTTATTACATCACCATCACTCAAAAATTCACCTGGCGAACAAGCCATTTTTCCGATTAAATTTGCAGAAGTCATATGCAAGTTGAAAGACACCAACTTTGAAGAAATCATATTTCATTTGTAGTATTCCCTTTCTCCGGATACAACTTTAGAAAAGCCATTTAGAGGCATATTTTCTTTTGTTAGTATCTGTAGATCCAGCAGCAAGGCAGGATTGCTTTCATGGGGTTCTGCGTTTTGGTGTTTGCCGTGCCTGCAAAGACAAGATATATTTTCTGGAAATATGCAGCAACTCCTGCTTCTGATGATCCATTTCAGAAGCGTCTCATTTGCCAAACAAAGAGCAGTGGCCAACTGTTAACATTGAAAGATGTTTCAAACATTGACATGAAACAAAGGAAGGAGGAGCAGTGCATAGTTAAAAGCTGCTAGTGCCTCGTATTCCTTACTTTTGATCATCTCTGGTACAATGAGCTTTTTCTGTAAAGAATGAATCGAATGTTAACTTACTCCGAACATACAACGAAAAGCCATAACTGAAAAGCCACAAAAAAATTCTCTTAACATTAAAGGCTAGTCCTGTAAAGGCCTCCTCCGCACCTAGCATGCAATAAAAGGGTGAGGAAAATTGAAAAGTGGGGGGAAAACGAAAGAAAGAAAGATCTCCTATGTACAATACAGGTATCAGTAATCTATATCGAGGAAGGCTTTATATTGTGTTCCTTGTAGTGCCGCTTGGACTTCTTCCCAGTTCTCAACATGATTCGATAAGGATCCTTTATGAATCTTTACTTGACGACTCTTCAGCTCTCTCTGTGGAACCTTCAGAAAGTCTAGGACTTCATACAGTTTCTGCAAAACAAAAGGATAAACAGAAGTGATTTCATTCTACCCTGAATCATGCACAGTTTCGGTGTGTCACGTGTGATGAAATGTTTAGATGCTTACAGTGCGATTCTTCGCTATGTCCTCGTAGTAAAGAATCATGTGTCTGGTGCTTTTGAAGTACTCCAAGGCTTGTGCAGTTGTATTCTCTACTTGCTTCAGGTTGTGAATCAGCAAAGTTGTGTTGATTAAGGGCTTGTACCTAGCTAGTATCTCTGCCTGAAATGAGCTAATGTCAAAGCAAGTATGGAGGAAATGGAGAAGAAGGTAGTCAGTCGGTAAGGCAAGAATGGAGTACCTCGTGAGGTGAATGGACGTGAGACTTGTGGGTCCCATTCAACAGCTTCACCCCTCGATCGTACTCATTAGCTAGTACGGAAATCATTCGACGCAAGAGATTTCTCCGGAAGAGGAAGATCGCTGAAACCCCCCGCGTTCTGAAGTACTCTACAACTTCATCAGGATGTTGCATCACACCCTTGATATGAACAAGATAATGCACAATGAGAAATGTAAAACAAAATGGAGGAATACCGAACATGCTTAAGGTTTGACAGTTTGACTGTCATCAACGAGCAACTCAAATCATAAATGAACGAGATGGACAAATGAAGTCAGTGGATGATCAGAAAGAATTCTGGGTTCTGTAGGTTATGAGGTATTAAAGAGGGTAACTCCATGCAGGCTCTAGACGTGCAATGAGCCATGTAAAATGTAACAGAACCAATTCCAAGATTCAATTACAGCTACCTTTTTACTTTCCTTTCCATTTCATCTACCTTTGAGGTTTTCTATTCAAGAAGATCCAAGCAATCAGAAGAGCTTATTTACTGTTAACACCAGCAAGTTCAGGACGAATTGGGTACTTCTTCGTTAACCTTGATATGGTAAATGCCTTAAAGCTGTAAATTAAGCAACCGGTCACTGACTAGGAGCAGCAATGCATTATGCCATCTCGTGAATGATAAGAGGGATATCCAATCTACGGCACTAGTTCAAGCGCATAATACACTAAGAAATGTAGTGCCATGAACATAAATGGCAGAAATAGTAAAGAAGGGATGTAGTGGTTGAAAGTAAAATATCAGAACTGGTTAGATGCAACACTCTCTCTCACCTGATTAAGCATCCACTTGAATCCCACCGCAGCCGTGCACTCATTCTTGGAGGCACTACTCAACCAGTCTAAGTTATAGACTCTGTCCAAAGTCTCAACAATGGTCGAATCGTTTCTCCTCCGTATTTTAACAGAGAAAATCTCCCCATTTGAGCTTACATTGGTATGGTTGTTCAACAATGTCTCAAACCATCCACTTCCAGACCTCTGCATTGACAAAATTGCAAAATACCGAACAGGATTGCACTCGCATTCTGCCCTACATGCACCCAAAGAGCCCCATCACTAGAATCCACAATATCTAGTTTGAACACAAAACCAGAGAAATTATGATGTGTTCTTTTACCTGCTATACATCTTGGGTTTTGGGTAATGAACATATGGTATCTCCCACGGCTCAATATTAGGTACTGGGCACTGCCTTTCGACAACCTTCAAGATCCCCGGGGTGTCGACACTGACAATGCCAACTTGCTTGAGACAGACTGATGATATGTACAGACTGCAGGCCATTAGAAGCACCACAACAACCATTCTCAAGAGCAATGGAGACTTCTTAGGTGCTTTACCAAGGAAAGAATCCTGCATATCATGTGTATGACCCATAAGTTAAAGCTTTGCTAAACCCTGCATTACCAGAAACCCACCCAACTCAACCCAGGAACATTGAGCTCCCATAAGCAATACCCATAAGAGAATAACTCAAAATCTGAAGAAAGTTAGAACATTTAAGAACGGAGTTCCTTATTCTAGGAAAGATCCCAACTTTACTCCAAACCAAACAGAGCCCATAAAATCCTCCACGAAAAAGATTAACGTGAAGTGCTTGAAAACTGAAAACTGAAAACATAAAACCCGGAACCATTGGAAAAGCATAGCGAAAAACAAACCAGATCAGACATTATCAAAGAAAACATGCTACATCATCTACAAACACTGAATCTAAACCTACAGTACAAATCAAAAAGAAGAAGAAAAGAACATCACTGAAAAGGGCAGGAATCAAAAGGGAAGCTCAATATTAAATAGAGGGGATGCGATGGAGATTGAGGAATAACTAATAAGACCTTGGTGAAGCAGTAGCAGAGATCGTCATCAGCCATGGTTGTGAAAAGGAGGTAAAGAGCTCAAAAGGGAAGGGAAAATAGAGTCATCCGGCAGCTCAGATTCCCCCTTTTAGGTCCGTCGCAGCAGTAGCTCTCTATTATTTAAAACTTCAAAAAACCCAACAAATTCCCCAAAAAGGAGAACAGAAAGTAAAGGCAGAGACGAAAGAAGAAGAAGAAGAAGAGGGGGCCGTTTCCCGTGAGTGAGAAGTCAAAATGATTGCTCGACTCCGCTCCTGCCTTTTGCTTCAGACCGTTGCACGCTCTGCTTTCGCCATTGCTCTCTTCTTTCTTCTTGGTCTGGTTTTCCGTTCCCCCCCTTTTTTTCTCCTCGCAATCGTTTCGTACGCAGAATTGCCTCTGAGAATTCGAGTTTTGTTGGGAAGCTAAAAGAGCGTCGTTCATCACAATGCGCAGGTATACAGGCGCAGAAGAAGAGCAGAGGTGGAGGTGAGCTGGTTGTTACGAAAACGACACGGCTCTCCCTTCAAAACGGCAATCGACAAAGCTCTCTCTCCTCTCTAATAAAAACAATCGTCTAAAAAAACTAATAACCTTCTTCTGTCGTTAAATGCCCACTTTGCAACTATCGATCAGGATATGAACGTAAACCGTATATACTAATTTCTTGTGGGTAATTAAATTCCCGTTTATTAATAAATATAATAACTCATTCAATCCAACACAAATTCTGCTGTAGCTTGAACATAGATAATTTAATCTGCCTGAAGAGAAGAGAGCAGAAAGGTGGACTCTTTGAGGACTGTTTTTGACTTGTGTCATTCATTTTTTTAAGCCAATTTCAGATAAAATGGATCTCGTATTTATTAGAGTATTAGTAGTAAAGTAAGAGTATTTTTCTGTAATTTGACAAAGTTTTATTAGTATTCAAACCGTCTTTTACTATTAGGTGGAAACTAATATACAAGTATTTTCTCTCTTTGGCAAAAAAAAAAATATACAAGTATTTTATCATAAGGTACTCTCGTATTGTCTCATAACAATCTTCCCATCAAAATAAGGACAGGTATAACTCCATGTCCTCCCTAAACAATTATCTTTATCCCTTCTCTTCGACAGGATAGCAGGTTCAGATTCGAAAATGTTTTTGGTATTACGAGTTATTTTCGTTGACCTATCAACAAGTGCATTGTTTGTTGTCACGGAAAATCCCCTGAAATCAAGGTTATGAAAATAAATAGCAGCTTGTTGTTCGACACAAGGATATTACGAGGTGCAGATCTCCACTTGTCCAGACAGATGATCAAACACGGATCTGCCAGACAGATACAGAGTAAAAAATTTCCTAACAAAAATGAAAATCCACGACGTTAACGTTACAAAGTCCGGTAACAACGACGTTACGCACAGTCTTATATTTACAGAGTATATATTCAAAAACAAATCAGCAAACAATGACAAAAAAAATAATAAAAAAAGACAAACCGCTTGAAACCCGACCCAGTTTCCACGGGTCAAAGACTCAAAAGCCAGGGCTTCATCTTCCGGTCGAACGGGTTGGAATGCGGCCCGGACCGGTTCGACCTGAAGATCTGGACCAGCAAGGGAAACTGCAGCAGCAAAAACAGCGTCACCGGCACGGCGGCCATCATCACAATCGGGACCACGAACAGCGGCCGGTGGTCCATGAGGATCATCACGGTGGCGCAGAACGTCACCATCATGGCGGCGATCGACACGAACAGCGTCGACAGCCCGATAACGAGCTTCGTCGGCAGGGAGCGGCGGAAGTCGGCCTCGGCGTACCGCGAGGTGAGGATCCCGAGGAACATCAGCACGGAGGTCGAGGCGGCGAAGAGCGAGAGCGCGTCGGAGGCGATGAAGATCTTGAAGGACCGGTCGTGGAGGAGGATCGGGGTGCCCTTCTCCTGGTTGTTGCCGCCGGGGACGGTGCAGGCGGCGGTGAACATGATGGTGATGATTAGGGAGCCGACGACGGTGGAGGAGGTGGCGGTTTCCTTCATCCATTTCTCTCCGGCGGCCGCGTCGTCGGCGGAGGAGCGGTGGCCGAAGGATTCCTTGTTCTTTGTGCTGGTGAGCTTGTGGAGGTCGCATGTGGCTATGTTGGTGATGACGCCGTTGTTGTTGTTGTTGATGATGTCGCCGCCGTGGCCGGCGTCGGAGGAGGAGGAGGAAGGGCTCATCGTCATCGCGAAGCTGTCGGCCGGTGACGGTGGCGGGGAAGGGTCTTGGAGTCCAATGATGTGTATTACTGCTGCACATAATAATAACCTTAATTAGTGTCATATATGGCACGACCATACTAGATTGTCATTACAAAATTAACCTTTTTGTACAAAGTTAAATGGTTTGAAGTTTGAACCATTAATAATCATTGTTACAATTTGCTCAAGTAGAATTATGGTGGTTTTGTTAATTCATTGTGAACGACGTGATCGTAATAAAAGGATGTCAAGGAGGAAATTCAACGCCTCGCAAACGGGCTTCAGACTGCATTTTATCAGTTGAAAAAACTCGGCCCGCACTTTCTTACCTTCTTGGTATCTAAATTGAAAGCTCAAAAAAAGAGGCCGGGCATCTTATTTGGCAAAGAAAGTATATCTATGAACACACGACCCGCCATCTTATATTTCTAGCAAGAGTTCAATGTCGTATACTTGGTGAATACATTGACCCGACCTCAAAACGGACACAAACATTTAAATTGTAACAATTCGATAACAAATCCTTTCGCCTTATAACAAAACGGTTACCATTTTATACAATTTCAAACGTTTTTATTATCGTTACAAATTGAAGGGTTTGTGATTGTGTTTGTATTAAGTGCAAATGTTTGTGATCATTTATGTCAACTACCCCTGAACATCGGTCATGAAAGGCTATAACATGTCAAATTACTAATCTAGCCCTAACCCAGGTCAGTAATGCTCGGTCCCTTCGGTGGGGCAAAAGACAAAGATAATGATCGAGCAAAGCAATTTGAGCCATATATCTCTGACCCATTCGTTTTAGTGAGTGGGTGAGCTGAGCTCTAATGGTCATGTCTCTTTGGACCCTTTTTTTTTCCAGCAGAATCATCTCCACCTTTTTATTATCCACGACGGTCACCATTCTCCAAGTTGCCGGCTGCTGTTCCTCCGGCGGACCCCATAAGCTCCGTCAACTTGGCTACTTGGATTCATTCAACCATTCCATCGAAGCGCCTGTCAGATCAAGCTCTCTGTCTCTAGCTAAGGGGAGTTAGAAAAAACCTTACCAATTCGAGTTAGTAAAGGGCAATGAATTAATGAAGGTGTAAATTGAGTTGAATGCCAGTTAATGAAATAGTTCGATACTGTTGTGTAACATTATCTGAACTCAAATAACATCTGGGTCCGCGCGGCTCGAGAGAAACGACCTCAAATTGGACTCATTTGATACTCAAAGCAAATCCATAACCATTAAATGTACAAGTGAGCCCATTTGAGTCAAACTCAATACTCATACAGAGTCACAACGGTCGAATCAAATTATCCCAACGAATCTTTTTCTTAGATCCGGTCTTTATAACTTACGAACTAAGATAAACCGTATCTTAGTTCTTAAGTTATATCTATACCCGATTACGAATGCTCGGATTATAATCACCCTTTTTGCTCTTAGATTATGACAAACTTTGTTGTAGTTCTCGTACTTAACGTAAACATTTTAGTCCATGAAATGGTATAGAAACGTACACTTAGTGAAAAGGCATATTAAGAGGATGCACGAATGTCACTGAAAAATTAACCGCGGTAATTGAAGAAGTGAAAGTTAAATAACAGTTTTACCAGCGTCGGCCTGCTGCAGCTGCTCTGCTCCAGGTCCAGCTTCAGGGTCGTTCTTGGGTAGTAGTAGCTTCTTCCGATGCATATCCGCTAGAGCGTCCCAAGCCTCCTTCGCCGAGCTGATTTCCCGTATCTCGTGGAGCACGTCGCAGCCCAGCGAAATCTGAATCGCGTGCAGAGCCGCCGCATTCTTCCTCCGCCGCCCGGCGGCGGCGTCGGTTGTAACAGTGGCAGGGGAAGTAGTAATTTCAGGGGAGTCGACTAAATCCCAGAGATCTTGGGATACGAGGTAGGTTTTCAGGCAGGCGAGCCAGTTGTCGTACGATTTGATGTCCCCTGCGGCCTGGAGAACGTCCCTGGTCGGGATGATGAAGTGGGTCGTCGCCATTTTTTTTGTGTGCGTGTAAAGCTTTGGGAGAACAGAGCTGCAGAAAGAGAGAGGCTCTCGTGAAATTTTCTGTACTAAGGATACAGACTTTTTTAACAATGTGAGATTCTCCTTTTGGAGAGAAAGGGAAAGGATGATGATTACTGACCGGCCCTTCCTTTCCTCTCCTCCGTTTGTGGTTTGGAACAGAGTGACAATGAGAGTCTGTGGAGGTGGAAGACGAAAGTGGTGAGTCAGGGCCACGTTTGACGTTTTGTTTAGGGTTTTTGAGCAGCCAATTGAACGGTTCCAGGTTATGCCACCTATATGCTGGCCGGTACAATCGGGTTTAACACCTAATGATTTGGAAGAAAAAAAAAATCGTATTGGAGGTTCTACCGAAAAAAATTCGATAGTACGGTCATTTATGTTGGAATCTTGATTGTTTCACACCCGAACGGTTGCTCCTCTTATAAGAAATTTTTCTGGTTGAACCGCCGGTACAGTACCGTTTTGCAATCCCTGAGAACCAATACAAGAACGATATGCCAGGAAAGTCAGTTTTCGGCACAACAAACATGATGTCGTTTTTTGTTGTTGTGTGGAATTAGCTGACAAAAATAAAGAAATTTTCGAATTCAAATATGAACATTTAGATATTGTTCTTATCTGTTGGATTCAAGTATAAACTTTTGGACATGTTAACTTGAAATGTCGCAATTAAATATAATGATTTTTCATTTTGTTTGTGATGTTTTATTTTATATTAAACTAGTTTTTTACCCGCCCGTTGGGCGATCTATTTTGTTTGGTTGTTTTATAATTCGTTATAGTATTCTAATTGTTATTATTATTTATGTTTGCTAAGATAATATACATGGAATTGTAAATCTCACTTATCTTATTTAAGTATTATTTCCTACTTGTATACCTTTTGTTTATTTATGAACATTTTAATTTTATTAACTGAGCTCTTTGTAGACGGTTCTTTATTGATTTAGAATTTTTTTTAATCGAACTCGCCCTTTAAGATTATAAACATAAGAGACTATTCATTCTTTAGCACATAATTGTGATAAAGAAGTTAAAAAAACTTACGGCCACAAAAGAAGAAGTTAGAATAAGAAAATATGCTTCAATTAATATAAAAAATAAGCGAAGAGCTTTTTATTTTCTCTCCCTTCTCATATGTCGGTATATGATAATAGAGAATACTCCGATCTAAATCCCATGAATATCGTGTATTATCACTTATACATACAATTTTGGAATAATGATGAAACTCATTAGCATCCACGTCCATCAATCTTCCACGTACTTGTTTAATTACCTTGAAATGTTCTAGCAAAACCAACCACAAACAAAACTATCAGCTGTCACTAACTTATTAAAGCAATATTTTCAGCAAATTAAACTACATATAATTAAACACAATTTATATTTTGTAGAGAGCTACATATCTCCTGCAGAAAAGAATTGTGCTTTATTACCTAATAACAACATAGACAAATAATGAAAGGAGCAGTCTTCAATACAACTCAACTCATTTTATCATTCAGATTCCTCTTTTGTGAACTGAATATATGCATCAATCCAAATAGTAGTTTGTAAGTAAAAAATCATGTCAAAATCAATCTTTAGTTAGAGATTCAATGCAGAAAAATTCACCTTAATGAAACAAACAAATGTCACCGCAAACACGTAGAAATTAAAAAAACATCGAAATAGACAACCGAGAAACCACCATTATCATTTTCTTTCTTCTTCGCGACCTTTATAAAACCCCAATTATGTTCCCTTCTACTTATAACCTCTTTGCTACATACTAATTACTAACCAGATCATCATTGTATAGCTACCTAGTAGTAGCATGTCAATCATGAACATAAAATATAATAAACAATCATCACAACTCTACTTTCCATTTCAACATTCAAGAAATCGGGTTGCAATAGGCATTCAAGAAAAACGATCAATTATTCAACCAAAGGATGTATCAGGTATGCCCTAAGTCCAGCCAATTAACCCTTCTAATTATATTTTATATACATGAAAGTATATGACGACCCTTCTCAATAAAAAAACAAAGAAGAAATATATTCACTCATCGAGAGTGGGAAAATTTACCATCCAGCAGTCATAATTTGGAAGAAATAAAGAAAAGAATGGGAAAAAGAGTATAACTCGGCCAGTCAACCACAAACAATAACATATCGCTGAGAAAGTGAGACCAATTGCCAGCTTCAGATCAAGGAGGAAGAGGGAGCAGTCGACAACCCTCGACTTGGTTCACCTCATCTTCACAATGATCAAATTAACTTTTTTCGTCAACAGGCAAAAATATGTTACAACTGCTCAAAATTTTGTCATCTTATCGTTGTCTCGTGTAACTCCTGCCTCCTATTCTCATACAAAGAAAAAAAATCGTATGCATTACCATTTCCTTCTCTATAAATTATGAGAATACAAATATTAGAAATCTCAAAAAATTTAGCAACTAATAAGAGGGCTTTGTTTATTTTTATGGTGGTTGACATACTTTCTTGATTTCTTATTTTCAATGTTGGATTTTATTTCTAGAGAGATAATCAAAATGGGGAAAGGGATAGAAACAAATTAAAAGTTTGCATTAATAATTAATATATTTTCATTTGATCGAAATGAATAAGAAGGTTTTAAAAAAATAACAATTATTGCTCTTTCAAGTTTATATTCATACATTTTGCTATATAATTTATACTTGTTTTATTTGATAGGTATATACATAAGAAAGAAGTGAGTGTTTGATAGCAAAAAACATATAGTCATATCGTTCATTTCTCAAACTCGATTGATTGTCAAACGCTTATTTTCTCTTAGACCATCGTTTATATTTTGTATTGAAAAATATTAATATTTATGTGTGTGCTTGTTTTTTTTTCATCAAAATGTAACTTATTATTAAGTTTTAGTAAAAAAGAGTTGAAAATTTACTTAATCAGATTTAATCAGTTTGGGTTAAACAAATACAATATATGTCACTTTCTGTTTCCATCTTTATAGTTTGTTTAATCAATTCTTTTTTTTACTTAGGTGTGTTTTTTTTTAAATGTTTCCTAAAAAAATTAACTTATTTTAATTTTAGTAAAAATTAGTAGAATTATTAAAAGAAGAGAGAGACAACTTCATAAATAGATCAATAAATAGTTTTTTGTTTGTAAAAAAATTGTCCACCTTGGCAACTTGCGCATTCACCAAGTGCTTATGTGGCAAGAAATTATTTTTGAATAGCCATAATATTAAGTATAGATAGATAGATAGATAGATAGATAGATAGATAGATAGATATGGACATTATATGTAGACTGTCTTGAGATAGGTTATACAAATGCACAATTCATTTTATGCTAATTGTTTCTCATTCCCTCGTTTGTTTTGTTAAAATCAACATAAATAGATATATAAACCGATTGTACTTCGATCGAACCATACAAAAGCTTTGCTTTTTAGTGGGGATGGTAGATCTCCACTTGATCGTTGATCCGTCAGACAGATAATCAAACACGGATTTACCTTGATTTGCCAGACAGATACAAAGTAAAATTTTCCTCACAGAAATGAAAATCATGACATTAATGTCCGGTAACACCGATGTTACTCACATCTTTCGCACCGAGTATATTCAAACAAATCAACAATCAATAAAAGGACCCCCCGAAACCCGACCCAGTTTCCACGAGTCAAAGACTCAAAAGCCAGGGCTTCATCTTCCGATCGAACGGGTTGGAATGCGGCCCGGACCGGTTCGACCTGAAGATCTGGACCAGCAAGGGAAACTGCAGCAGCAAAAACAGCGTCACCGGCACGGCGGCCATCATCACAATCGGGACCACGAACAGCGGCCGGTGGTCCATGACGATCATCACGGTGGCGCAGAACGTCACCATCATGGCGGCGATCGACACGAACAGCGTCGACAGCCCGATCACGAGCTTCGTCGGCAGGGAGCGGCGGAAGTCGGCCTCGGCGTACCGCGAGGTGAGGATCCCGAGGAACATCAGCACGGAGGTCGAGGCGGCGAAGAGCGAGAGCGCGTCGGAGGCGATGAAGATCTTGAAGGAACGGTCGTGGAGGAGGATCGGGGTGCCCTTTTCCTGGTTGTTGCCGCCGGGGACGGTGCAGGCGGCGGTGAACATGATGGTGATGATTAGGGAGCCGACGACGGTGGAGGAGGTGGCGGTTTCCTTCATCCATTTCTCTCCGGCGGCCGCGTCGTCGGCGGAGGAGCGGTGGCCGAAGGATTCCTTGCTTTTTGTGCTGGTGAGCTTGTGGAGGTCGCATGTGGCTATGTTGGTGATGACGTCGTTGTTGTTGTTGTTGATGTCGCCGGCGTCGGAGGAGGAGGAGGAAGGGCTCATCGTCATCGCGAAGCTGTCGGACGGTGACGGTGGCGGGGAAGGGTCTAGGAGTCTATTGATGTGTATTACTGCTGCACACGATGTAACCTTAGTTAATTAGTATGTCATATATGGTACGAAAATATACTATATAGTTAAAAACAAGTTTGCAGGTCGTAGTATCGTTGTCATGATATCGTTGAACTACTAGTCTGTTTACGAGTGTAACTTAATTGAATGAAGATAAAAACAAAAGAGAAGAGTAACATGAATATGTATTGAGTAGTACCTAAAAAACAGATTGGGATCCTGTTATAGGGCATTGAAGTAGATCGAATAATAACGTAATGTTACGTTACAGATGTTGGTATTCGTATTTGGAGGACGACTACTTAGCATATCCAATGCAGTGTCGACTGGCTTCCGCCATTCATTCAATGTATCCAAAGTAGAAGATTTCGAATTCATCATGCATGTCTTACTCATAATAGTTTGGCATAAAGAAACAATAAAAAGTTTTAGCACATGAATTCTCGTAATACATCATTTCAAGTTGTCAAAAATTTCCTTTAATTTGTTAGTGAAACTACTGTAAAAAAAAACTTAGTTTTTCCTCAAAGGACATATGGTAATGGTTCGAACCCCATACCGAAGATTAACTCAATGTATTACGTGCCCTTCCATAACAAAATTATCAACTAATGTTCCTTAAATGGTGATAATATTTGTATACTCACTTAGCTATATAGCCTATTGATGCCTGATGCTGCGAATGGACCGTAACATGTTGATGGATGATTCTTGCGATTGGAGATTTAAAGGTTTTTTTCACTCTTCATAAGATTTTGTTTCAAAGATTCAGAGTAGTTTGAGAGGGGAGTGGAAGATGGGGAGCTTTGACTCAGAGTAGAGAGCGGCACAGGGGAAATCGTGTCAT